TCCGAAAAAGCTTTGGTTTTAATTGTCTCGTAAAAACTTTCAATTACTTCTGCAAAATTCATACCCACGTAAACATTACTACACAATAATATATTAAGTCAATTGATTATACAACAAAACGTTCCTAAAACAATCAACTCCACAATTCGAAGATAATGCCAGTTTCCTGTAGCCTGACAAAACTATGAGTGATTTTTTAAGTTCATGTTGTTTAATTATTGTCCTAACAAATGTGCCATTATCAGAGGTGGTCATTTAAGAAAATAACCACTATATGAGGTTTCAACTTAATGTAATTTTTTCAAATAAATAATTCACTTTTTATACTCCCAAGACTAGTACATTTAATATTACATAAATCTTATTCACAAATCTATTTCTATTTCAAAAGCAATTTATGAAAAACACATTTGAAATTTTCTTCATCAAACTAATAATAATGAAAATTAAAGTATGCATAAAAATGATTATATGTGTTTTAACAAAATAGCACAAAATATTTAATGTAAAAATTTTTTAATCAAATAAATAAGCATATTTAGTAAAAACCCTCTCTAAAACGACCACCTGCGCTTCCAGATTACTCTGGTGGTCTTAAAGAGATCATATTTTCATTCTGTTAATTTTATTGTTTACAAGTATATTAACGTCAGATAAAAAATAGCATAAATCCATATAAACCAACAGAAGATTTATTATTATAATTGATACCAGTAAGAAAACCAGTAAAAGTCAATATAAACCTATACAAACCAGTACAAAGTTCTGCCATTGAATGTTGGTTGTATGGGTGTCAATTGATACCAGTAAGAAAAACCCACAGAGATCAATAGAAACCAGTAAAAGTCAATAGAGACCATCAAAAATTCTATAGGTACCAGTAGAAAGTTTTACTGGTTTCTATGGGTCATTTTGAAACCAGTAAAAAAAACCCACAAAAACCAACAGAAACCAGTAAAAGTCAATAAAAACCCATAAAATCTTATGGGTACCCATAAAAAGTTTTACTGGTTTCTATGGGGCATTTTTAGTAGGGTGTCTGCATCCCCATTCTTTATTTTTTGAATTAAAGTCCCCAGCAACGATAAACTGATGATTGTCAGGGCAAATACTTTTCAGTATATCTTCATTAAGCTCAACATAGGGTGGGTTGTAAAAAGCACTAAAATAAACAGTCCCTATGTAAGGTAGTAATATTGAAACTGTGACCATTTCATTTGTGGAGTTTCTTTTATCGGAAATAAAACAAGATTGCAGAGAGTTTCGTACATAAATTGCGACTCCCCCACCTCTTTGACTCAAGCGATCACATCTATATGTGCGATAATTATTAATATTTATGTTCTTACACGGAGTGGCGTAAGTCTCAGAAATTAAAGCGATGTCAATCTCATGAGTAGTGAGGAAATTGTGTAGTTCCGTGATTTTATTAAGAATGCTGTGAGCATTCCAAAAAACTGCTCGAGTGGGGGGCCTTATTAATGTTGTGATTGGCCATTATGGTCTCCGGATTGATTGAGTTTCTTTAATTACTGCTTTGGTCTGTTGAATTTGCTGTGAAAGCAAAAAGCCTGAGCTTTTAATTACATTAACAAGTTCAGCCAAGTCGGCGAAACACCTTTTTCGCTTCACTAATCGTGTTCAGAATATATTCCAGTAGGAGAAGAGCTTGTGCGTAACTTTTGCTTTCCACTACTCCTGCTTGTGTAGGCTTTTTACTTTCTCTTGTTTTTTCTTCGGGAATTTGTCACATCCTCGAAAAATTCGATGTGTGTTCTTGGAGGCAGTTGGCACATTTCGGTGGTTTTTCTTTATTTTTATTGGGGCAAAGATATGATAAAATGTTCTTCAGCGCACCGAACACATTTGGGCGTAAAGTAACAACCTGCTTGGGTGTGGTGGAACCCCTGACAACGGTAACATTGTAGGGGTCCCAGCTCCTACCCTTATAATCTTCAAATTCTTACTCTTAAGCCCGCATAGGTTAGTGATATTATGTATTTCCTTCGATTTATCCTTTCTGGGTAGTGAAACAAGGAATAAGAGGCAATTTAATTACCTCACCATTTCTCCTGCTAGTCATTTGTTTGATAGAACTAGAACTAACGACTAAATTTTTAGCTTTTAATTCCTCGTTAATTTCCTTGATTTCTCAGTATCATGAAGTAGTCCCTCTTATGACCACTTTAATATCCTTATCTTGTGGCAAGATAAATGAGTGATGTTCTATTTTTGCGGCCTGAAGCAGCTTAACTATCACTCTATAGTCTTCATCATCTTTTAGTCATAATTCTAATGCCCTTAGGGGTTTGACGGCTATCGACTTCAATATTACGCTCTTGAAAGGTTTTCCTGAATATTATTCCAAACCTTGTTAGTCACTTTAATGGTAATAGGTGGAATTTTATATTTTCTGACAAAGTTTGTGTCAGTTATCTTCATTTTCGTCTTTATTTTGTGGTTTGGTTTCGGTTTGAGAGTTTGTTCCGTTTTCCGGAATGCAGTGGTATCCATTGTATCATTTTCGGTTTCAGCAGTAGGGGGATAATCCCTGTTTGTGTTTGTTATTTTGTGTTAACTCACCTGTTGTTTTTTCTTTTGAATTGTGTTAGTCATCATTAGATTTCTTATCAATAATATCAGAGTTAATGTGCATTAGTGGCACGTGGTAATTCGTTAGACATTTTGTTTTTGCTTTTTCGCCGGCGGTTTTTATCGATCTGGTTTTTTTCCGCGTTTCGCACTAATACGCACAGTCTGGTTTCGCCTCTACGTTTAGTATAAAATTCCTCGTCGGAACTAGTTTCCTGATCAAGTGTAATTTCTTTTTCGGAGTTTGTACGGTCATTATCATTAAATGTTAGTGGGCTGCGTGATCGTTCGTTGTCGCTATTTTTATCAGCTGCATCGGTTTTTTGTGTGTGTTTCATTTTGTTTGTATTGCTATTTTTGTCAGCTAAATATGCATTAATGCAAGTGAGCATGTGCACGTAGAATTTGTAGTCACGTTCATCTTCGCAAGTAAGCGCACCATCATCGCAACGCTTATGTTCTAGCTCTTCAATGAGCTGCTCGAAAACAAGGCTAATTCTGTCCATGATCGGTCCGAAAAATCCAAAAATCCAAAAAATCGCAGCGCCCAAGAACGCAGAAGAACCCGCGCCCTGGAACCGGGCCCGCTCAACGGCGTCCCGGCAGACAGATGGGCGGATGGAAACTCACAAGGCTCCTGACAATCACCTGACAGTGAGAGCTAGGGAGTAACTATGTGAGTTGAAAATCCAGCAAGACACTAGCAAAATAAAATCAAATAGCAGTAACTAATTACCTTCCTGTAACACACAGCAATTAGGCGTGATAGCAAGAATATGGCAAGATAAGCAAGGCATAATCATAATCCGAGTAACCGTCACTGCGTTAGCACGTGGCCGTGCTCATCGAAGCGTGAAAACGGCGATTCGGATTTGGCGGAACTCCCCAAGATTACGTCCTTCGCAAGCGAAGGCAACCCTGAGAATGAAAAATGTGGCTAACAAACTGAGAAGTTTTCCTCCTTTTATAAGATTTTAAAATCGCGCGCGAGAATTTTCTGGTACTTTCTCGAAATCAAAAAGGCGAAATTTATTAAATGTTACATGCACGCGCTCTTGTATTTTCAATTTTCCGGCTCAGCTTTCTTTTAATATTCGTCACGCGCTGCACTGAAACGTCACGCGCGGGAAATATAACAATTTAATTTACAATTCAACTAACATAAGCTATTTAAATGCCAAATCCGTAACAATATATACAAGTTTGCATTTTTCGAAACGTAACGTTTTCTATAAGCATACAAAGTTCAAAAACATAAAAATTTCCAAAATTGTCCACAATTTTGGCCACCACTGTAATAATCGAAGCAAAGTAAAAAAGAGAACTGTATCATCAATCACACGCTACCACAGCAGTGCAAAAAGAGTAAGAGTAAACAACAGTAAATACGAGACGCCTTCAGGAAAATGACGCCATGCGCAGTAATCTGCGCAGATGTTCAGGGAGGAACCGGGAGGAAACTAGCGTCTGATGGGCTAGACGCTTGTCGCCGTAGTAGTCCAAAGTGGGATACACTATCTTCTATTTGCCAGTATCTTCTATTTGCCAGTAGTTTGCTAGAGTTCCGTGACGTCAAAATTCCGAGAAGTGGGGTAGGGTTTGGAAATACGCCTCCGAAATGTGTAATGGCAAACTGCACATTCAGTTGATCAATGTTAAACGAATTTCGCATACTGCGCATGCCCAGAAGAGAATTCGCCGTAATTACGACTTTAAATACGGTGTGTGGTTGATATTCTGTTATCTGGGAGTAAACAGTTCGGGGTTTTAAAACTTGTTAGGTTTTAAGTTCCTTTATTACTTAGAGGGTAACTATCGATGTCTCAAAGTTTCATTTAAGAATGATTACATAACAGGCAGCATTACAGGATATATTAGCTGAATCTTTATTGAATATACTTGTGAGGAATAAAAGAAATTGCGTATGGTAAATAACTATATGTTCCATTCGTATATACTTTTGCAAATTAAAAAATAAATCCAGTTTAAATTGCTAAATTAAAGTCAAGGAAATAATTATAAATAACTGATATTAAATATAACGTTTATGAACAAAATTAACCAAAATGAAATGAAACAGTAGCAAATGCATTAAGCAGAAATAAATTTTTGTTGTATTGTAATTGTAAATAGTCGATAAGACCTACATGATGAACAGGCTTGTGTAATGGTTGCTTATGCTTAGTCGCCAGTATTTCCTGCCACGCCAACGGTACACCGCTGAGCATGCGCAGTAAACGAAATTCGTTAACATTGATCAGCTCAATGTGCGGTTTGCCATTACGCCGTTCGAAACCGAGCTATGATCAAAAGGGATTCTTGGGGTCTAGATGCTTGTGACGTGTGTGTACTTTGACTGATAAAGCGAAACTAGCGAGGAAACGGAAATCAGTGGAATGTGTGTACGTCTTAAACGACCTCATTATCTATCTTATTTATTGCGATTTTCCATTTAGCAGCACTTCGTTAGTATTGCTAACACCGTTTTATATTTATTGATATGTATTATGGTTTTTATTTGTGTAATATTGAAACAATGAATGAACATCATGTTTTGTAACAAATTAATACGGCGTTTTGTTGCTGTATGGCGAAATTCTAGTAGGTTAGTTTAGAAATTGTGTACTGTGAAGCCTGAAAACTATTTAGGTCTTTTAAATAAAATATTAAGCATTAGTTAACTAACAACTTAATCAAAATTTCATGTAATGGATGTGTGTATGTTTGACGTAATTGCATAAATTTTTCTGTGAAATATCTTTTAGTAAGTGTCCCTGGAAGTCAAAGCATGCATTTATCAAAGATCCTACTAAGTCACATCATGATGTGTATTAAATTGGAGTAAAGCATCCAGCAAATTTCAGTTCACTAACCCGTTTTACATCCAGACGTAGCTTGAACATTGTCCTGAAGTATGTAGTCTATAATTATCTGTATAGAGAAGAAATTCATGTCTAGACATATGTAACAAATCTTTTGGAAGAAGCTGTCTTTTAAAACAGCACATGGATGCCCATACAGGAGAAAAACCTCCCGTGTATGACTTATGTAATCAATCTCTCATGCAAAAGGGAATTTTAAACAAGCATGTGATTTTTCATAGAAAAGAGAAATCTCATGTGTGTGAAGTATGTGAAAAGTCATTTGGACAGAAGGGAGTTTTAAACATGCATATGCTCATTCACACAGGAGAGAAACCTTATGTGTGTGAAGTATGTAAGAAATCATTTAGACATAAGGATAATTTAAACAAGCATCTGCTAATTCATACAGGAGAGAAACCTCATGTGTGTGAGGTATGTCAGAAGTCATTTATTCAAAAGTGTAATTTAATCAGGCATAGGCTTATTCACACAGGAGAGAAACCTCATACCTGTGAAGTATGTCAGAAGTCATTTATTCAAAAATATAATTTGATCAAGCATATGCTTATTCACACAGGAGAAAAACCTCATGTGTGTGAAGTATGTAAGCAGTCATTTAGTCACAAGCGTTGTTTAAATAGGCATATGCTCATTCACACGGGAGAGAAACCTTATGTGTGTGAAGTATGTAAAAAATCATTTAGAGATAAGGCTTGTTTAAACAAGCACTTGCTTATTCACGCAGGAGAGAAATGTTACATGTGTGAAGTATGTAAGGAGTCATTTACTCAAAAGGTTCATTTAAATGAACATATATTTATTCACACAGGAGAGAAAGCTCATATGTGTGAAGTATGTAAGAAATCGTTTAGTCGAAAGCGTTGTTTAAAAGAGCATATGCGTATTCATACAGGAGAAAAACCTCATGAATGTGAAATATGTAAGAAGTCATTTAGTAAAAAGGGTCAATTAGATGTTCATATGCTTATTCATTTAGGAAAGAAACCTCATGTGTGTGAAATATGTAAGAAGTCATTTATTCAAAAATGGAATTTAATCAAGCATATGCTTATTCACACAGGAGAGAAACCTCATACCTGTGAAGTATGTCAGAAGTCATTTAGTCAAAAGTGCAATTTAATCAAGCATATGCTTATTCACACAGGAGAGAAACCTCATGTGTGTGAAGTATGTAAGCAGTCATTTAGTCATAAGCATTGCTTAAATAGGCATATCGTTGTTCACACAAAAGAAAAATTTTGTATATGAGGTATGCAAAAGGTTGTTTGTACTGAAGAGCGATTTAAATATGCTTGTCCACATAATAGAGAAATCTGAGTTATATTTGTAAGAAATCACTTAGAGAAAAAAAGGATTTGAAGAAATGTAATTTTTTCTGTACAAAAGAGAAACTTCATGTCTCTTGAGGAGTTGTAATGTTAATAACATCTTTACTTATCAATGCAATAAGGACTTTTTAATGCAGCAAAGAAACCTGGTTATGTGACGTCAAGGCTGGTGCAATCATGGACAGAATTTAAGGGTGGAAAAGTTTTTAAAATTTAGAAAGGCACTTATTGGCAGATTTTAGTATTTTCAGAAATTAAACCAGATGGTATAAAGCTTACTACTGCCCCTGTGGAAGGTACGTAAATTTTTATTTGATCAAAATAAATAATAAACCATTTCTTGGTTAGAATAGACTGGAGGGTACCCCTCGTATTATCGCAAAGTTGTTTCATTTATTGCCAAGTAAAGGGAGTGTGCAATGCCAAGTTTGTGCAATTCTTTGATGTTTTTTAAAGTGAAAATAGGTCGACGTGTACGTGGATAAAGTGAAGGGAGTGTGCAATGCCTAGTTTGCGCATTGTGATGTTTTTTGAAGTGAAAATGAGAGTTGCACAAGCTTGGTATCCATGAAAAAATCTCCAATTTTCTCCAAGGGGTACCCATAAATATACTTTTACCAATTACTTTGTTTCTAAAATAGAAAGAAACTTTATTTAAGGAAGGGAAATCTTATATCATTTTAATGAAACACTGACTTAAAGCAACATCTCTTGATTCATCAAGTCTTCTAATGAGAGAGACATAAAGCAGCATATGCCTAGGCTAATAGAAAAGGCTTAGACTGTTTCTGTTGTACAAATTCAAACTCTTATAGGTTTTGCTTTCACTCTAACCATTCCCGTATTGCAATCTTCTATGCTAGATCACATTTTCCTCAACATTTTGTAAACAGCACAAAGATGGGAAATAAACTGTCTATGATACATCTTTAGCAACTGCATGATTAAAATTTTAATTTTTATAGTTTAATTTTATTAATTTAAATTTTTATGGTTAATTTTATAAATTTAATTTTAGGTTAATCTTTCGATTATGGTAACTTAGCGATTTTTTGGCGACAAACTCTGCTACAGCAACCCTCTATTTTTTTTCGCCCCCATTTTGTCTTCACGAAGTAAAGACATGTTTCTTTTTATTTACTCAACACTTTTTCCAACAATCTGCTAGCCGAATTACACTTATGCTAGAAGTTTTATGGAACAAAACTGCTTAATCATGACAAATATTAACTGCAAAATTTGGAAAAGGTGCAGAATCGCAAACTCCTTGCCACGCTTTTCAGAATCGCACATACACAGTAACCATGTACACGTCTACTTATTTTTACTTAAAAAAAATTCCAGAATTGCACAAAAATGGCATTGCGCACACTCTTGACTTTATCCATCTACACTGCTATTTTCTCATAAATTGCAAAAATTTGCAGGAAAATTTTGTGAATCTTTAAATTTGGTAAAAAGGACGGAAGCACTTCCGCAAAGGATCCGTTAAATGTGAACATCGCCAAAAATGGCAATAAACGTTCAAAGCTGGTAACCCGCTGGCCAACGGATCCTCTGCGGAAGAAAACCCAAAACGACATATATGAAATTACCTGATCCTGAAAAAGTATATACCCTTTCCAAGCATGAACATTTGCACGTATTAAATAAATAAAATATCCAAAAACTTTTACCCTTTAAATTATCTATTATAAACGTCACCAACGAATTTATAACGCGAACATTAAAAATGGTTGCAAATACTTAGTGTCAAATATTTAAATTATTTCCATGCACGTTTACTTCCACTGAAACGTATACCAAATTGCTACAAACATATAATTCACAAAATAACTATCATTTAATTAAAATATAATTAAATTAAAAAAAACACTACTTAAAATATAAATAAGCACATACATTAAATTAATAAAAATTAGCTTACAATCCTAATTACTTTAAACTAAATCATTGCTAATAACAATTTTCCAATAATACCATATTAATTTATTTACTCCTTACTTTAGAACAATGCATAAAAATAATATCCTCAAATAATTAAAAATACTAACTTACCTAATCTTCTTCAGAATCTTGAGTTACATGGCAGATAAACTTTTTTTATGGATTCAATAAAATCATTGAATGATTTTTTCTGGGAATTTTTCCGCCATACTTCCTCTGCTAAATAAAAAGCAAAATTCTCTTTATCATAATGCTTCGGAATAGGGCTTTTTATAGCACTCCCACATGTGCCCTCAATTGTATTCGTATGTGCGCCTGTTTCAGGATCTTTGAACTGTAAATAATGTAACCAATTTTCTTCATAGTATTTAGGTTCAACAGCAAGATGTTGAAAACCTTCATCCTCCAAACAGACATGCGACTTCCAGCTATCAGATATTATTATTGTACCAGGTAGAATATTCTGCTTAATAAAACTTAAGAAGCAATCTTTACTTCTATATCACACAACCGTAAAAAAACACTTATTACTACCCCTTTCAATCCTACTAAATACCCATTTCGAATTCACTTTAGATAGGGCCATGGGATCCAAAAATTAACCAACACTGTTTCACACAACACAGAATGAAGCTAAATACAAAATACTATAAAGTACAGCAGATATTTTTCCAGATTCCCCCCCCCCTTTTTCCGATTAAAGAACTATAATTCGTCCATTAATGTCACATGACATATCTCATGATCTCTCATTTCCCTCACACAAAATAATGCATAATCGGAACTGAGTACTTCTCACATTATTCCCAAAGTTCTAGGTAGTAACCTTTATCGCCTACCAAAATGTCGCCAAACTACTTGTTACCATATTCCAAAGATTAGCCAAATTTTCCTTTCCTTCTCAAAACTGAACCTTCCATGTAACTGTGTCTTAAGTGTTGAGAATGACCAGAAATGAGACATCAAGTCTGAGTAATGCATGCAGTTTCTAAGTTTGAAAGATAATGTCAAATCAGTTTCAATTTTTATTACCAATGCCCCAGCTACACTATGGCTCCATGCAAATAATTTTCAAAGTATTTTTACATAATTGTCAGTGTACTCTCTATCCATAACTGTTCAATGTTTAGATTTGTTGCCTGCCAAACTGTACTGTGCAGAATGTATACATATGTGCTTTTCTTGTAATACCAAAATACTTCTAATACTGAAATTCTGAAGCATGGCTTAATGATTCATTATCATATAATGTGGTTAATGACAGTAGTGTATATCTCGTGCCCATCATGAACTAACATATTTAAACTTATTAAAATGATATATTTAACATATTCACATTATTATTCACTTTGCAACTGAGGTTTCCTGATATATACTGTACTTCCTGACATACTCCCTTCCCTAGCTTTTCGCCCCTAGGTTCTAAAAATTAAAAAAAAAAAAAAAAAAAAAAAAAATGTTTTCATCATTTTTTAACTTCTCTATTGTTCACAATTTTCTCCTTTATTGGTAAATTTTATTTCCTTAATTATTTTTATTCAGTGTATTCAGTTTGTATTTGCATTTTGTTCAGTTAATTTTCCTTTGCATTTATTAATTGAAATACATTTTCTGAAGATTTTATTTTTCATTAAACTATCTACATATGAGAGGTGTTTTCACACTCAAGAAAGTTTCCAAATATGTGATTTTAGCTAATTTCTGTTTTTTATGTTGCATCTCATTGTAGCCTTATCTGCTTGTGATGTGTTCGATTTCTGGAAATGTGGGCCTTTTGTTTACCTCTTTCACCTTCATTCCTGTTGCCCCTCTTGGGAACTGCAGTCAAGACTCATTCATGTGAGGTGTCCCTGGTACTTTAGAAGGTAACTGAAGCAGATTTGTTGAACAGTGGCTGAATTAGTGTCAGGTATTTTAATGTTCATATTACTATGTTATCTGATTAGAATATAGGCTACTTTTAAAGAAATTATATAGTCATAATTACCAGTAATTTATCCAACTTTTCCATTTGCTATATTCTTACTGTAACTGTGTTCTTTAGAAATGAAAGGATTCATATAATTTTTTCCTCTCGATTTTCGGATGATTACCGAATTATGGATTAGATAACCAAAATAATATTCATCCTAAAATCAGAAAAAGGATTATTGCTGCAGATCGTTCCTTCTTTGGTTTAAGACCTCTTCTGAAATCTCATCTAATAAAAAGAACAAATCTGCTGTTATACAAGGTATTAATAAAATCAGTCTTAATCTGTATGCATCAGAGACATGGACTGTAAGGCGAAGAAAAAGCCTTGCTGATCTTTAAAAGGAAGATTCTAAGAAGTATTTGGCATTAAAAATCTCTTCAGTTACTAAAATTGGTTTTTGTGTATTATCCTGTTGACCGTTTATATTGTCTGCCATCAAGCCCTGATGGTTGACAGAGATACTGCCGAAGTTCTGGCATTTGTTCATGTAGGATTCTGATGGATCTGACTCTTCCTTAATAATCGGTATTCAACCCACTTCATTCTTGCTCTTCATAAAAAGGTTTCCATTGATTTCTACTGTTAGGTTAGAACCTCAAATGTTTCTTCTCTGGTAATATTTCCAGTCTATTACTGTTTTGTCGATCAAGTCAATCAACTTTGAATCCACTGCTTGCTGTCGTATAGAATGCAGGTTCCAAATTTTAATAATTTTTTGGTTAATCTTTGGATTATGGTAACTTGGCGATTTTTTGGCGAAAATTTGGCAACCAACCCTGCTACAACAACTTTCTAGTTTTGCTGTCACGAAGTAAAGGCATGCTTTTTTTTTTTTTTTTTACTCAACATTTTTTCCAACAATTATACTAGAACTTTTATGGAACAAAAATGCTTAATCGTGACGAAGATTGGGTGCGAAATTGGGAGAAAGTGCAGAATCGCAAACTGCTTGCCGCATTTTTAAGAATTGCACATACATGGTATCATCCATGTACACATCAACCTATTTTCACTTAAAAAAATCCCAGAATTGCACAAAAAATGGCATTGCGCATACTCTTGACTTTATCCATGTACACTACTAGAGTCCTAGCTAGTAACTTTTATCGCCTTACCAAAATATCGCCAAACTACCTGTTACCATATTCCAAAGATTAGCCAATTTTTTAAACAAATAATAATAAAAAAAAAATACAGCAATAACAGTTAATTTATATCCGTATGTATGAAATCAAAGGTGGCTTAATTTATATCCTTGTTTATGAAAACAAAGGTGGATTATCTAGAATCAATTGGTATTATGTCATATGAAAGTCCAGATATTAAGAGTATGTTGTTATGCCATGCTTATCCATAACTGGTGTTAAACCATGCTGCTTTGTAACGGTTTTTATGGTCGATGGAGTAATGTATAACTATCGCTAAATCTTTCCAGAGAACATTTGTTCCAAGATTCTGAAATATTCTGGTTAGTTGAATACGAGATAGTTAGGTTTTTACTGTATTCAATGTATAGTACACATTTTAGAAAAATGTATGTCTTTTCACTTTACTTGAAAAATTTGTTTACTGAACATTATTTCAGTTTTCCTAGTGTGAATCAAATAGTGATATTTTGAGTAAATGGTGTTGAGGTAGATGAATGTGATATAATTAACACATCTGACAAAAGTAGTGAAGAAATTGATTTACCATATTTAGTTTTATTTTTGTTTGTCTTGCACAAAAAAAAAAAAAAAAAAAAAAAAAAAAAAAATGTTGCAGTTTAAATTACACACTTTAAATTATATATATTGTACCATCTGTTGTAATATCTAATTTTGTGCAATAGTTTATTAATATTTTATACTAAATTTGGGGGTTGATCTTTACAATATGGTAACTGGTACAGGCGACATTTTGGAGGCGATAAAGGTTACTACCTGGGACTTTGGTAATAATGTGAGCAGTACTCAGTTCGATTACGCATATTTTGTGTGAGGGAAATGAGAGATCATGGGATGTCATGTGATATTAATGGACGAATTACGGTTCTTTAATCGGAAAAGGGGGAAATCGGGAAAAAAATCTGGAAATTTTGTATTTGGCTTTATTCTGTGTTGTGTGAAACAGTGTTGGTTAATTTTTGGATCCCATGGCCGTAACTAAAGTGAATTCGAAATGGGTATTTAGTGGTATTGAAAAGGGTAGTAATAAATGTTGTTTAAGGTTGTGCGAGATAGAAATAAAGATGTTTTATTAGTTTTTATTTTACCTGGTACCTTATTGTGAAATATAAGTATGATTTTAAAGATCCTGAAACAGAAAAGCAGAAAAGTTTTATCGGACACGTAATCAAGATTCTGAAGAAGATTAGGTAAGTTAGTATTTTTAATTATTTGAGGATATTATTTTTATGCATTGTTCTAAATGTAAGGTGGAAGTAAAGTAATTTGGTATTATTGGGAAATTGTTATTAGCAATGATTTAGTTTAAAGTAATTAGGATTGTAAGGTAATTTTTATTAATTTAATGTATGTGCTCATTTATATTTAAGTAGTGTTTTTGAATTTAATTATATTTTAATGAAATGATAGTTATTTTGTGAATTTTATTGTTTGTAGGGAATTGGTATACGTTTTAGTTGAAGTAAACGTGCATGGAAATAATTTAAATATTTGATACTAAGTATTTTGTAATGCTTTGCGGTATGAATTCGTTGGTGACGTGTATAATGTACTAGATGATTTAGAGGTAAAAGTTTGTGGATATTTTATTATTTTATGTGGAAATGTTCATATTTGGAAAGGGTAAATACTTTTTCGCGATCAGGTAATTTGATATATGTTCTTTTACCGGGTTTAAAGATTGAGAAAATTGTCATGTATTTTCATGGAAATTTTTCTAATTTATGAGAAAAAAGCAGTGTACATGGATATAGTGAAGAGTGTGCGCAATGCCATTTTTGTGCAATTCTGGGATGTTTTTTTAAGTAAAAATAAGTCGACGTGTACAGGTTTGAGTGATATTTTAATTAAATGATAGTTATTTTGTGAATTTTATGTTTGTAGGAATTTGGTACACGTTTAAGTTGAAGTAAACGTGCATGGAAATAATTTAAATATTTGATACTAAGTATTTTTAATGCTTGCGGTATGAATTCGTTGGTGACGTGAATAATGTAATAGATGATTTAGAGGTAAAAGTTTGTGGATATTTTATTTATTTTATATGTGGAAATGTTCATATTTGGAAAGGGTAAATACTTTTTCGCGATCAGGTAATTTCATATATGTTCTTTTTACCGGGTTTAAAGATTGAGAAAATTGTCATGTATTTTCATGAAATTTTTCTAATTTATGAGAAAAAAGCAGTGTACATGGATATAGTGAAGAGTGTGCGCAATGCCATTTTTGTGCAATTCTGGGATGTTTTTTTAAGTAAAAATAAGTCGACGTGTACATGGTTTAGTGATATTTTAATTAAATGATAGTTATTTTGTGAATTTTATGTTTTGTAGGAATTGGTACACGTTTAAGTTGAAGTAAACGTGCATGGAAATAATTTAAATATTTGATACTAAGTATTTGTAATGCTTGCGGTATGAATTCGTTGGTGACGTGTATAATGTAATAGATGATTTAGAGGTAAAAGTTTGTGGATATTTTATTTATTTTATATGTGGAAATGTTCATATTTGGAAAGGGTAAATACTTTTTTGCGATCAGGTAATTTCATATATGTTCTTTTTACCGGGTTTAAAGATTGAGAAAATTGTCATGTATTTTCGTGAAATTTTTATAATTTATGAGAAAAAAGCAGTGTACATGGATATAGTGAAGAGTGTGCGCAATGCCATTTTTGTGCAATTCTGGTATGTTTTTTTAAGTAAAAATAAGTCGGCATGTACATGGCTTATGTGTATGTGTTATTTTGAAAAACGTGTAAGGAGTATGGTATTGTGCACTTTTCCCAATTTTGCAGTGAATATTTGTCATGATTAAGCAGTTTTGTTTGATAAAATTTCTAGCATAAGTGTAATTCGGCTAGTAGATTGTTGGAAGAAGTGTTCAGCAGATAAAAAGAAAAGAAACATGTCTTTACTTCGTGAAGACAAAATGGCGGCGGGGAAAAAAAAATAGAGGGTTGCTGTAGGAGAGTTTGTTGCGAAATTTTCGCCAAAAAATCGCCAAGTTACCATAATGTAAAGATCAACCAATTTGGGAATTTAAATATTAACTGAAATTTTGTTACTTAGGTGTAACAGAGAAAATTAAAAAAGAGTGAATAGTTGCCAACTTTGGCACCAAAACACAAATTCATTACTATCGCAACCATATAACAGTGCTAAGTTTTAGGTATGCATATAAGCCACAGTTTTAAGAACAGAGTTTCCCCCTTCCCGGAGTTCATAGTTTGATCATGGATCTGTGGGGTCTACCATACAATGAAGATGTTGTTAGTAGTTTCTTACAAAAATATATTATATTGCCAAGTAACTGTCAGTGTTCCAGTTTGTATGAAATGAAGTTTTATTCCAGTCAACTGAAGATCTTATGGTATCCTTGAAATAATAAGTAATTGTTTGGAATGCAAGATGGCAGTTGGTTTGCAGGAAGTAGATTACCATTTATTACTGCCCTCAGATCATCTACAGTCAAAAGTCTTTAATCCGGGCGTCCATAATCCGGAATAATCTATAATCCTTACCTCAAAGCTACAAACTTTCTGTGTATGCGTTAACGCATGCGCATAATACCTTTATGCATGCACATAATACGTTTACGCATGCGCGTTTAATGATAACGGATGGTATAAGCTAAGCTAAAATTATCTAATTATCTATTTCCGTTAATGTTACAGATTGTGTTGTTCCTTAATCTTCTAATTGGATCCGGCTTATTAATTTTTTGCAGGCTTTTAGAGCAGTTTTATAAAAGTAAGCTTGAACTTTC